GGCAGCAAAAGCCCCAGGCTCCCGAGCCCCCGCCGCCGCCGAGCCTGGAAGCGGGAGCGGGTGCAGGGCCCCCGGCGGCGCCCGTGGAGCCGGACCGCGACGGCCCCAGGGAGGAGGACGAGCCCAAGTTGGCGCCCGGACCGCAGGTAGGAGCGAGCGAGGAGAGTCCGGCTGCTCCAGCACTTTCCCCTCCCGGGAGCGGGGCCGGGGTGAGCTTGGGGATGGACCACCCTCCACTGGCTGGGGCTGAGGCTATCTCCCTTGAGGCGGGAGTGGAGGCTGGACCCTTCTCTCCAAGCCGAAGCATGGTCCGTCCTGTCCTGTGACCAGGGCTGCCTGCCCTCTCCCGCCGCCTCCGGGCTGGAGCAGGGGCTAAACCTTCTGGTCGTATACCCACACTGGGACTAGGCTGTGCTCCTGAGACCACAGCTCAGCTCTCTGCCCTTCACCTCCCCCTGGGCCCACCTGCTTCCCCACCTACCCACAGGCCAGCCTTGGGCGCTGTGGCCTGGAAGGCTGCAGCCTCTTCCCTTTCTCCACCCTGGGAGCGGCCCCACCCTTTCCCCTCACTGCCTGCAGCCACTGCCCCCTGAGCAGCTGTGTGCCCCCAGCATATGTCTCCTGTGGCCTCCCGCCTCTCCCTGCCCAGAAGACTATTTGGTGGGGCGCCTGCACTGAAGCGTAAACTAGCAAAGCCTGCCCTTTCTTCCCTGTATACCTCTGACCAACAAGGTGGCCCACCCCAACCCTCAGATCCCTGGGTTTGGTGAATCCTGCTGAGAGTGAGCAGTAGCAGGACTCAGCAAAGCTTCCAGCTTATCACCTGGAAGAAGGTCACTTTCTTTTGAGCAAAGGAGATAATGGGAGGTACCCTGCTAGTGTTCACTGAGAGCCCGGGGTGGCATGAGCCACAGTTGCTCTGGGAGGGCTGGGTGGCTCGCCCTAAGCTTGCTCTGACAAAAGAGTTTTGAGTTGGTCTTTTGGCTGAGCCTGCCAAGGAAGGCAGGCTCCTGCAGGAGTCTTGGAGGGTCGGATGCAGCGCCGGATGAGGATGAGGCGTGGCGGAAGATGCGTTTGGCTCTGCAGACACTGCATCGGGCAGCAGGGGACTCTGGGAGGCTGGTGCAGCCAGAAGGCATGGCTCTTGACAGCCTTCTAGTAGAATCTCTGGAATTGTGCATGTGAGTGGGGATGCCATTTGGGGTACCATTCCCAGAAAGCCTTCCCTACCTTCCCAATTGCGTGAGGTGCCCTCTTTGTGCCCACAGCCCCTTGTGCTTCCTTTGGTAGCATTCCCCATTCTTCAAGACATTCTGTTGATGTATCTGTTCCCTGCACTGCACTGTGAACTCCACGGGGGCACAGACTATGTCCTCTATCTCTGATCCTCCATGCCTAGCCCTGGGCCTTGCTGACACTGAGTAGAAATAACTAGGTGAATGAGAGAGAGAATGAATCCGTTGAGAACCTGTGCTTATTGTAACCCAGTTTCGATGCTGTTCTCCTTTGTGTTTCATATCACAATAAGATTTTTAATTAATGAAAATGTCACCACTTATTAAGTGTCAGAAGCCTCACCTTCACCCCCACCCGCTACCCTGGGATACAACTCACCAGGTTGGACTCCGCCCTTGCCTGGTCTGACTTTAGACCCTGAACCTGCTTCCACCTCTAGCTTTGCTCTTTCTCTTCTCTGGGCCACCCTGGGAATGCTGTTATCCAAAAGGGGAGCATTAAGGTAGGGAGAGCCAGGGGAGCTGTTGTCTTCTCTCCTTCCCACTCACCAGCAACACTTTAGGGTCCCCTGCCACTTAGCTAGGCTATAGTATTCATGGCCAGAATTTTGGATAATGGTTTAACTATTTAGTTTTTATTTAGGACACAGCTTTCCTAAGAGCTATAAGCTTCATTATCTGCTCCACTGCTTGACTTGCCAGTCCATTAATTTATTCATGCCAGACACTATATATACCATACTTCTAATCTTCCCACCACCCCTTTTCTTTCCTCAGCGTTTAGTACAATTGTGATGAGTTAACTATTGGTTTAATTATTGGTCTGCTTTTGCTACATAAACTCTGAGAGTGCAGGAACCACGTCAGTCACTATTGTACCCCTGTGCCTGTGATTAACAAATGTTTAATGAATGAACTGAAGGATATAAATACTATTTCCCCATTTTTCAGATGAAGAAACAGAAACTCAGAGCAAGCATTTGCTCAAATAACTCCCACTGTAGGTCTCAGGTGCCTCATGCCCCTCCAAAAAAGGACACTCTTCTGTACTGTGCTGGATTTGACAAGGCTTTTTTTTTTTTTTTAAATACTATAGCCACAAAGAGGTGAAACAAACTGACAAACTCTCTTCTGATTGTACCCCACTTTTTTGCTGGGGAGGGGGTTTCTCAATGCCAGAAGCAGGCTTTTGTGCCCTGGTGAAAAGCACCCGCTGAAAGGGTTGGGGTCATTGTTCTGCCCACTAGCGTGCCTTTGGTGAGGATCTGTGTCTCCCACTGCCACTTAAAATTCTCTGTGTACACAGAGTGGGTACGTACGTAAGGGGAAACTCAGTGTTGCAGGCCAAACTGAAGCCAAAGATAGCAAATAGGACCACTTGTAGTCCACAGACAGGTTCTAAAGTCCCAAGTCACACATTGTTTGGTTTTTGTTTTGATTTAAGCCAATTTTTTAAAAAACAAAAGATTCCCACAAACTGGACTTGTGCCATTTCTTAAAACTCAAAATCTGGTGCTGCTGGGCCCACATTGCTGTAAGGCAGTAATCTGCAGTCTCTGAATAGTGTCTCCCCCTGATATGAAGGACACCTGATCTGTGCCAGGCCCTGGGCTAGCTGGGAATGCAGAAGTGAATCAGATGTGGTCCCTGCCCACAAAGGGCTCATGGTCCAGAGAACATGTATACAGTAATTGCAGTTAGGCTGGAAGAGCCGTGATTCCTGAGTTCAGGTTTGAAGCCATGCTGGTTCCATCCAGTCCCCTTTGCTCATTTGCATAACTTGTTCACATATAAAGGCAGGACCTTGAGCTGGCCTATTTGGTATCCCAAAAGTCCCTACTTCCATTTGTTTCAGGTCACTAAACTATCTTGATCTGTTCGCTAACAATCCAAATCCTCATTTTCTAAATAAGACTAAAACAGTTACTGCCTTATTAGCAAAGAAAAAAAAACTTAAAGCAGCTGAATAAGGCAGTAGTGAGAAATAGTGTTTAGTATTCCAGACTTGGGGTGAACTCCCAAGCACAGTCTCTGGGTTTGTGACCCTGGGCATGTTTTTTCCTCTCTCTAAGCCTCATCAGCAACATCATAAGAGAATGTGGAGCAACCCACGTAGCACCTAGTACATCGAGGCTCCTGAGGCAAGAGCAGGAGTCAGAGATAGTGGGAACTGCCAGATGGCCATCCAAAGCCTGAGTGTTCTCACCTGCCAATTCTGCTGTCTGTCTTTTAGTCTCTCTTGGACCACTCAGCCTGCAGTCCAGGTGCATACTCAGTAAACCCTCAGGAGACTTGCCAGACTGTAAACCAGCAGTTGGAACTGTTTGAGCTCATCCTGCCCTTCCCATCTCTCATCTCTCTACAGCACCTGCTGAGTCCTGCCCAGCACAGTTTAGAGAGACTCTAGAGACCTGGTTCCCCACTGCTCAGAGTTAAACCTGCTCCCTCAAGAGACTGGAACAGAGGATCAGTCAGTATCTTTATTGAAACCATCTCATTATGTTTAATCCACTCAACAAGCATTCTGACCTCTGTGCCACGGCCTTTATTTTGGGCACACAGATGAATAAGATAGTCCCTATACCAGGGGACCTCCCCCTTAAAATCACTGCCCACCCAGCCTGGCCACTTTTCATTGCAAGTAGTAGGAGATGATACCGAGGGGGGAATCCCTGCCACCTCTGGTTTTTCTATAAGCCAATAGAGATTCACAATGTAGAAATGCTAGAAGGCCTTTGAAGATGAAGACTTACTTGCTAAAATTATAAGCTTAATACCTGGTAGCCTGTTAAGATCCTGACAACCTTATATACTGAACCTAGAATTTTTGAGAGCAGAGGCTATGTTCTAATTCATTTGTGGGGTATTTATTGTTGCATGGTCCTTAGGTGCTCAATAAGTGGCTGTTAAACCAAATTATAATAAAAGAAGTAAAAGTTAGGTTTCTTCCACTTTTTTCTTACCAGCCTCTACTGCTGGGCCAGGCTGGCCATCATTCATTCATTTAGGCCCATTATGCACACACCACACCCAGTCTCCCTCTCACCTGACCTGGTGTTAATTTATTCTGCAAACACTAATGGACACCTGATCTGTGCCAGGCCCTGGGCTAGCTGGGGACGCAGAGGTGAATCAGTCCCTGCCCACATGTATATATTAATTGTAGTTAGGCTAGAAGAGCATCACTTCCTCTGAGTTAAGGTTCAAGTCCAGATCCTAGTATGTGGCCTTTGGAAGAGTTTTAGCCTTCTTAATTTGTTTTCTCACATGTATGACAGTGATGCCAGGCTCCCATTAGGGCAGCAAGTACTGCATGTCAAGCACTTAGCACAAGTGGTAATCGTAATTATTACAGATACTTGGTACTGAAGATGCACAGAAATGATAGCCTAGAGAAGATTTCTCAGAACTGATGTTTCAAGGTTGAGTAGAAGTTCCTTTAGAGGAGGAGGTGGGAGAAAGTATCTAAACAAAAAAAGCAATATAGAGACCCAGAGGTGAGAACTGCCCAACTCCGGCAGAGTAGCATGAGGTCAGGCTGGAGAGGTTAGCAGGGTTCTACAAACCACACCAAGAAGTTTGGGCTTTATCCTGCAGATAGTGAAGAATCAATGAAAGCTTTTTTTTTTTTTTTAGATTTTATTTATTTGACAGAGAGAGACATAGCGAGAGAGGGAACACAAGCAGGAGGAGTGGGAGAGGGAGAAGCAGGCTTCCCATGGAGCAGGGAGTCCGATGTGGGGCTCAATCCCAGGACCCTGGGAACATGACCTGAGCCTAAGGTAGACGCTTAACGACTGAGCCACCCAGGTGCCCCATCAATGAAAGCTTTTAAATAAGAAAGTGAACATGATGTTCTTGGGTATTCTCTGATAGCATGAGAGAAAGCAATCTCAGTGACGAAGCAGCTG